ATAAAATAAAATAAAATAAAGTAAAAAATAAAATGAGTTGAGTGGTTCTAACATACATTTTAGGACTGAATAGGAGTCAAGTCTATTAAAATAGAGATAGAGTAACATTTTTCCTGTTACAGAAAAGTTCACTTAAGAAACGTTTGTATTTTGATTGAGATGCTAGTTACATGGGGTTATAGATGTGTCAGAATCCATTTATCTTTTCATATTAAATATATAAATTTTATTGCACATAAATTATACCCATTCTAATTTTAAAATATACAAGTTCTTGTCATATCATTTACATAATGCAGTAACTAAAAACTAGTTTCAATTAGGCCTCTAATAAGCCATTTGACCTGGACAGCTTTTTAACCTGAATAGTTTTTAAGTTTTAATCTTCTAATCTGCATGATTGATATTTTAACAACCAATTTCGGATAGTTGTAAGGATTAAAATTTTAAATTTAGCATATTACCCAGCACATAATAGATCCTCAGTAAATAGTAGCTGCAATAACAATTAAAATTATTGTATTAGTCATTTCTCCTTTGATTTCTCTGTTTTTTAACAGAAAACCCATATAGACAGTTGCCATGTAACTGTCATGGAAGCATGCCTGGAAAGACAGCAATAGAACTTGGACCTCTGTGGTATGTGCCTAAGCATAATGACATATTCAGAATTGATGGAGATAATGATTTATTTATTGTCAATTTCTGACTGTGTGGTAAAAGCCAAGCAAACTTAGATTCCATTTTACATCTAGACATACTATTATGACCCCTCTCTTGCTATGATTCTGAGCTTCCACTATTGTGTTGTTCTCGTTAGTTTGTGACAAAGCGAAGTTTTGGGGTAAGAGAAGCCTGTCATAGCTACAACCTAGATGACTCATTTCTGAATGGTGAAAAAGAGACTTAAAATTGATAGTTGTAGAACGAAGTCATGATTATAAAATGATAGTGGTGATTTCTGTGGAAGAACCAATTAATATAAAAGATCTTAGAGGAATTACCTTTTTTCACCCTTTTTTTCAATCCCTTCTCTGCCTTCTGGCTAAGATAAGTGTGGGAATTACTTTTCAGTGAAGGGGTAAAGGCTGCTTAGATGGGATACAACTGGAAATATTTAACGTATAGGTGCTTTTCCATCATCGGTAACAAGTTAGTATGTTTTGCTGCTGTTGCTGCTGTTGCTGCTGTTGCTGCTGTTCTTATTGTTCTTGCAGTAGTCAGGAATCAACATGGGGCACTCCACCACCAAAATACACTGAACCCTTTTCAAAATGTTATTTTTCAATATTAGGGATGGAATAGGGACCTTCAAACTAAACAACATCCCAAACCTTTTTTTTTTTAATTTGTCTTTTTGAGACACAGTCTTGATATGCAGTTCAGGTTGACCTTGAGCTCCCTTTGCAACCCAGACTGGTCTCAAACTGACAATGGTCCTCCTGCCTCAACTTCCTATCTAGTAGTGAGACCCCTGTACACCCTGTAGATCCTGCCCTAAATACAGAAAAAAAAAATCTGTAAGATTGCTAAAAATAAAAATTTTAAAAAATTTAAGATTGCTACAGTGTTATAATACAAATCATTGTAAATTATTTTCTCATTTAGATTCAGGCTTAGCATCTAATAAACCTTAAAAATTTATTCAAATAGAAAATAATGTTTGTACTGATGCCCACTGTTTTATTTTCATCCTTTATAAATAGTAAAGAATAATATAGCTTATCTTCCAAGACTCACCTGTATCGTCAATATAGCGAACACTGATCTAAGAACTAGGGAAATTAAGAGTAACATTACTGAATCCAGAAGGAAGATCCAGTACCCTCATGTTACTGGTGAGGAAATTAGGGCAGTGTTTTTTATTTTATGGGGTTTTTTTGTTTTCCTGTATTTTAGGGAACAGCCTACAGAGTGTTCAGGGTCTCACTACTAGATCGGACTCATAGTGATTCTCCTGTTTACAGCCTCCCAAATGCTGGGATTACAGGCACTTTGTCTCAGCCTCCCCAGAGGGCGGGCTGGCATGGCCAGCCCAGGTATCAAACCTCCAGCCCCTGCACCTGCTTACAGGTGCTTTTAGTCCGCTGAGCTATTTGGCCGGCCCAGGGCAGTGTTTTTTGTTTTGTTTTATTTTTCCATGATTTTATTGAGAAACAGCAATGAGACAGTTCCAAATCAAACTAGTAGGACAGTTTCAATACTTAACACACTGCATACCGTCTTCCCAGTGGTCATCCATTGCACAAGATGCAGACACGACACCTCATCCACAAACACCACCAGAACAAATCCCTCCATTCACCAAATCAAAAGAATGTAGCTGCACATCCATCCTAAGGGCAGTGTTTTTAAAACTGACCCAAAAAATTAGTTACCAGCCTGTAGGTGAAGGCCAAAAGATAGCAAGTTCAGGCCTAGCCTAGGAAGTTAAATGACTTACCAGAGACCCTGTCTCAAAATACTGTAAGTAAGTAAAAAAGGGTGGGTATATAGCTCAGTGCAAAGGCCCTGGGTTCACAAAAAGAAAACACTAGTAGTTAATAGAATAATTGGGTCCAGAATTTCATAGTGTAGGTTCTTTATACTGATTTATATTCCCAGCCTTTTCTGAGAAAGGATCTCACTAAATTACTAAGGCTAGGGGTTTGAACTTACTGTCCTCCTGCCTCAACCCCCTGGAGTGCTGGGGTTAATGTACCACCACACTTGACATGATCATTCAATACTTTAAAATTATATATGTATAATTTTATATATATTTGATAACCCTAATAGTTAGAAGTATCTTTTAAGTATATTCTTTGTACTAATCATTGTATACCTACTATCTCATTTAATTCCCATAACAAGTTTGTGAGAACTTTTATTTTCAGTTTCATGATGAATACAAGCAGTAATTTCTGTTGCATTTGCTCATGTACAGAAGCAGTAATTTCTCAAGATCACATAGCTAGTAAGTGGTAAAACCAGAATATGTAACTTGAAATTTCATATGTTGTCAGTTATACATGGGATTCCCAAATGGGAAGCTTATCATACTGGCTTCCTGGCCATTGTTGAACCATACTACCTCCATCATGTGTAATTCTTTAATGTGATCTCCCCTACTCTAAGCCAGGCATGATTCAGTGTACTTGCAGTCCAAGTACTCAGGCGCTTGAGGGAGGATGATCCTCAATTCGGTGCCAGCCTGGGCTACATAGCAAGTTTAAGACCAGTGTGGATTTTATTATAGAGAGAGACCCTATTTGGGGGAAAAAATGATTTTCTGTTACTAGCTAGAGTGTGCATTGTGAAGATCTCTGCATTACATTATATTCCCGTCTAGACTTAAAATTTATAGGGTTAATGCTGTATTTTATATTCAAGTATATCCTCTACACATCCCCACCCCCACCATCCTCACATTTCTTAGTACTGTACTACCTATAAGAGCTCAGTAAATTCTTAACTGATTTAACTTAAATGAAATTTCCGTGACTGTTTAAAGAACTGACTTGTGACAAAAGGAGAAAATGAGTAAACATACGAAATTATTTTTGAATTCTAATGACTATCCTGTAATTAATTACATATTTTAATTGAAGTTAAATTATGGAGACTTTTAATATAAATATTTCTCAGATCAATTCTCTATATATTATTTTCTTTTTTCAGGTCAAGTTCCCTTTTTAATACTGGATTTCTCAAAAGAATGTTATTTGAATCTGTTCACCATGGATTGGATGACATTCAGACCTTAATAAAAACATTAATCTTTGAATCAGAGTGTACTCCTCAGAGTCAGTTTTCAGTTCATGCACCTTCAAACCTCAACAAGCAAGGTGACTAATTGAATACTAGCTAGCTTACAAACTGGTTACCAAAATATTGTATCATTTTTATCTTTGATATTATAATCAAAAGCAGTATGTGCTTTAAATCCTCTAATAAGTCTAATCATAATTTGGTTGCTACAATTTTATAATTATATAGTTTTCTTCAGATTTATACTCAGGGGCCTGAAATCAATGTCATTTTATTAGAATAATCTCCCCTTTTAATTTTAGTAGATAAAAACAACTTTAATACTGTATACCTATTATTTTATACTATATGCCTATTTTCTAAAAGGACAAACCTGAAATAATTCTAGGCATGGTATGACCATTGCTAATGTCCACTGAGACCAAGAAAATGGATTTATACATTGTTCAGTGAAGCCACATTTTTTTTCTCCTCAGTATCAATAGGCTTTTGTAGTCTTGGTTGGCTATGAATGGGTCTACTAAACATCCTATTTCTCTCATAAATAATGAGAAGCTGCTATTATTATTAAAATACATAATTCTTATATCCTCTCTTGGCCACAGAATCTCTTACATGTTCTTGTATGAAAATGCAGTTTATGTAGAATTTCATGAACATATTTGAACTTTAAATTATTGCTTAATGTCATCTATAAAATTGTTCCTGGTTGGTTTTTTTTTTTTTTAGAAGAAAATGGTATATCTGTTAAAACTCCAGATGATATCACAGCAGATTACACTGCCCAAGGTATGTATGTATGTATGTATTTGTATGTGTGTATATATATATGTGTGTATGACCACAAAAGACATAAAGAGAAAAGCAGTAAGAGAAGAGATTGCCTTAGTAGCCTTCTAAAATACATTTGCTAGTTGCACAATCCCGGCACTGGGGAGGCTGAAAACGGGAAAATCAATGAGTCCGAGCTGCATAGAGAGACCCTGTACCAAACACAGAAATGAAAAACAACACATTCTCAACATGCTACACTGATAACCAAATTACAGTAAAACTTAACAGTATTCACACAGTACACAGTTCAACATTTTCAAGAGAACTATAAGGTCGTAAAGAACTATATAAACTAAAAAAAGATCAACTAATATGACAAAATTATAGCATTAACATTTGTTGAGCTAGCTATAGTGGTGCATACACCAAGCACTTAGGCGGCAAAGCAGGAAGATGGCTGGGTCAGGCAGCCTAGGCTATATCAGCCAAGTTCAAAGCCAGCCAAACTACATAGCAGGACCAATTTTTTAAAAAGATTAAATTTTGTTTATTCTTTTAAAATTACACATCAGTATATGATTTACAGCAATTCATCTGATTAACCAGTACACCCCACTGTATAGCCTTTTATGGATTTCGGGATACATGCATACTTTATATTTGCATTAGATATTCCCGATTCAAACCAAAAAGTTAGAGTTAAAATGTTATTGCTTTACTCTTTTTTTGCTGAACTGGGGGTTGAACCCTTGCGCTTGCCAGGCAAGCACTTATTCTACTGTGCCATCTCCCAGATTCTACTGTGCCATCTCCCAGCAAAAGATGTGGGGGTTTTTTGTTTGCTTTTGTTTTTGTTCTTTTGTGTGTGGTACCAGGGATTGAACTCCGGACCCTGCGTTTGCCAGGCAGGCACTTATTCTACTGAGCTCTCTCTCCAGCCTGTTAGTGCTTTACTATCTAGAGTTCATTATGCTTTTTAAAAAATCAGTGTAGATACTAAGCTAAACATAGGCAGGAAAATCACAATCCCAAAGCCAAGTTGACTGCCTAATGTTACCTAGCCTCAGAAGAGTCAAAAAACCTGTAATCCCAGCACTTGAGAGGCTGGGCAGGAGAACTGCAAATTGAGTTTCTGCCTGAAAGCTTAATGAGACCTTGTCTCAGAATAAAGGAATACAAAGAATTGGGGATGTAGCTCAATACGAAGGCCCTGGGTGGAATCCCTAGTAACACACACACCTGCTGATGTCAAATATGTTTCAAATACAGATAAAAAGAAAAATGTAGACTTAAGACTGGAAGAGCAGAGGTCTATAATAACAAGCTATAAGTTTATATTAGTTGCTCAATAGTCGATCTTCAAAGAATATAAATTCCTCTTAATATATGGTGTAATTATGCATTTTCTAGTCATGTTTATTGGTATCTTCAGCTGATTTGCTAACGTGTAAATCACCTAAAATTATATACTCCTATTGAAGGATGACAAAGAGGCATGTGTATACCATAAGGCACATTAGGTTTAAGAAAATTACTCTGTGCTATTAATTATGTTCCTTGGCCAGGTCCATCAATTTCAGAATTGTCTTGTCTTTTTTATAATAAGGTAAAACATAAATATGCCTTTAAAATACTTTAAATCCAGCCGGGGAGATAACTCAGTAGAATAAGCACCTGCCTGGCAAGCCTAGGATCTTGAGTTCAATCTCCAGTACTGCAAAAAATGAAAATAAATAAAATGATTTAAATCTCTTTAATGTTTCTTGCATATAAATCAAGGGAAGTAAAACTAATATGTACAGACTCTTCTATTTTTTATGTTTATTTGTATGCTTGCTGTACATAATGATTACATTATGGTGAAAGTGCATATAGAACACATCTTTATAAATCCTGTCTCGAGTTCCCCTTCCTATTTACAGAGGAGCTATCTCCCTATTTCATATTATCTGTTATTTATACTTTTGAGTTTCTCTTTTAAGAGAAACTGCAACATTTATTCTTGTGTCTGATTTATCTCACTTAAAATTATGATCTCAAGGTGCATCTCTTTGCCCACAGGTGATTCAGTTTAGTATTCCACTGTGAAAGAACACATTTTCTGTATCCATTCAGTCTGCTGATAGACATGTAAGCTGCTTGTAAACATAGCTGTTCTGAGTTGTACTGCTATAAACATTGGAACATATGCATCACTGTAATATGATGTCTAACTCTTGTGGGAAGATGCATGGAAAGAGAAATAGCTGGGTCAGATGGAATTTCTAGTTTTAGATTTGAGGACTCTCCACACTGAATCTCCATGGAATAAGATGGAATTAGCATTGTCTTAATTTGCGTTTCTCTAATGGTCAGAGATGGTAGGCTTTTTTCATATATTCGCTTAAGCAGGCACTTAAACACCTAAGCTAATGGGCAGGCCCCCCTCGTAGATTTGTGGAGCATTTGTATTTCTACCTCTGTTGGTTCATTTCTCTTGCCCATTTGTTGACTGAATCTTTAATTTTAGGTGGTTTAATTTTTTTTTTTTTTTTTTAGTTCTTTGTATATTCTAGAAATTAGTCTCATCTGAGGAGTAACTGGCAAACATTTTTTCTGTTCTGTAGAGTTGTCTCTTGACTGTGATTCTTTTGCTATACAGAAACTTTTTAGTCTGAAATGTTCCCATTTGTTGATTCCTGCTAGTATTTCTTAGAAACTGAAGTTCTGCTTAGAAAATCCTTTCCTGTACATGTCTTCCAGAAAGTTTAGTGTAACATTTAGACTTTTGATCCATTTTGATTTTAATTTAGTATATAATGAGAGATAAGGTTCCAATTTTATTCTCCTACAGATAACCAGTTCTTCCAACACTTGTTGAATAAACTATCTTTCTCCAGCATAGGCATTTGGTCCCTTTGTCAAAGATCAAGTAGTTGAATATGTCTGAAGATTCTGTATCTTCAGTTTTGTTCCACTGATCCATACATATGTCAGTTTGTTCCAGTACCATGCTATTTTTAATCACTATTGGTTTGTAGTATAGCTTGAAGTCATCTACTGCTGTGCCTCCTACTTTGCTCTTATTACCCAAAATTACTTTAGTATTCTGGGCCTCAGAATGATGTTCTGACTCAGAAAACAAATGTTAAAATTATATAAGGAGCAATGAAAATACCTAAAATAAATTACCTCATTTTAAGAAGCTGGGCAAGTAGGTTGAAATGGTATATCAGAGTATTTAGACTTGGAACTATAGTTATAAAAGCACTTAATTATAATTTTTAAGTCTACTATGTGTGTATGTTTCAGGAAAGAGAAAAAATAATGAAATAATTACAAATTTAGTCAAGAAGCAAAAGACTGAGGTCATTACTGAACATCCTCCCTTCTATTACAACATCCACAGACACAGCATTAAAGGAATGAACATGCCAAAGTAAGACAGCCATGAATGGCCGGCCAAGTTTATGTACCACATTTTAAGATCATTATGAATGAAATACAAATATAGTAATCTAATTTTTTTTCTCATCTTATTGCAGGTTAAAAAAGTTTTTGTGCTATCTTTCTCAAGCAGGCTTTCGAGTAAGCCGAACTCATTTTGACCCAATGGGTATTCGTACAGATGCACCTCTGATCCAGTTTAAATCTATCCTTTTAAAGTATAGCACCCCCACTTACACTGGAGGACAATCAGAAGGCCATGTCCAGTCAGCATCAGAGGATGCAGTATCCGACAGGGTGGAAATGTCAGTGGATGACAAAGCTGAAGCAGGTAGCTGCAGAAGATGGTAAAGAGGGAAGAATTTATTCTCAGGTGTCCGTATAGGTGGCGCGATGGTTCTGTGCACCAACTGTAGTTTTGTTCCTGTTCTTTCAATTCAGTGATATGAAAATAAAAAAGAGTGCTGCTTTCATTCAGAAAATTAGCAGTTTCTAACTTAGCTGGTTTGGAAGCTTTTCAAGTTTTTCTTATTTTAAAGAAAACTTAAAATTTTAATGGAAACATTTCATATGAAGCCAAGGTTCTGACTGAGATCACCCTATTTAGTAATTCAGTAAATTTTCACATGGTTAGTGTTAAGAATTCATGTACATTATGGAAGGCATCCTTTACTATTCTTTTTTTCCCTTTAGTGTAGCAGATCAAACTCTGGGGCCTCATACTTTGCTAGGGAGGCACTTAGCACTGAGCTAAATCCCTAACCTATTTAAGGCAAGATCTTGCGGTGTCACCCAAGCTGGTCTGAAAATCCTAAATTTAATCAAACCTGCCTCAGCTTCCTGAAAAGCTAGAACTACAAATGTGTACCACCATGCCCATGTTATGCTTTACCATTCTTTTTTCTTTTTTTGGTACTGGCGATCGAACTCAGGACTTTGCACTTGCCAGGCAGGCCTTTCTGCCACTGAACTGTGTCCCTGGCTCTGCCTTACTATTCTTAATCATGTTTTTACTTGCACTGAACCATATTTAAGTTTTTGTGTGGTTAGGATACAAATGAAGCCAAAATGACCCTGAGTAGAAACAATCTTCCAGGTCATTCACGTGTTTCACAAATACAAAGCTAAAATATATTTTCCCATTTTTAAGAAACCATATTCTATACACTGGTTTTTGTTTTTTTTTTTTTAATTTATTACTAGCTTTTAAGAAATTAAGGGCCGGGGTTACAGCTCAGCAGCACAGTCTGCCTGACAAGTGTGAGGTCCTAAGCTTAATTCCTGGTACTACCACCATCCCCCAAAAGAAATTACTTGCCTGAGATGGCATACATTTTTTTACAAATATGTAATCTGAATGACCAAACTTCAATGTAAAACTTCTGTCAAACACACTAAGACCAGTGTTCTAATATGACAGCTCACAAATAGTGAAATTGCAAGGAGGGATTTTATTATGAATTAAATAGACTGGGTGATCTCGAGTGCCTCAGTTCACGCATGTCCACTGTTCATTCAGTTAATTGTGCTGCCTACCAATCAGAAGTAAAAATTGTCACCTTAATAAAGAAGATAAATGCTTGCCTGGCAAGTGCAAGGGCCTGAGTTTAATCCCCAGGTCTGCAAAAAAAAAAAAAGAAAGACGTTTTTTGGTTTTTGGAATTGTTTTCCTTTATTTGGTTTTTCTAGTTCTGTTGTATATTTGTGTAAACTTTTTGTAATAGTTGCCCAAACTAACATAATTATAAAAGTCAGGAAAAAAAAATCTTGTTTGTATTAATATTCTTGCTTCATCTGAATATAAAATTTTAGGTGAAAGGATTTGGTGTAAAGTTTAGGTTTTTGTCTCAGTGATTGAATCCATATTTCTGTAAGGGAAATAACTCTTTACAGCCATTAAGCTGCAGGAGGGTGGTACGTTCAGAACTGACTGAAAGGTTTGAAAACACTGCATAAGGGGGTTTTTTTTGGTTTGTTTGTTTGTTTGTTTGTTTGTTTGTTTTTGGCTAGCTCAGGCTGCCTTAAGGGTGTGGGTCTGGTGTGGCTTATGGAGCTGGGGATCCCCTGTGCCTGACTGAGTCTGCCCAAGCAGGTGCTTTAAACAGCTGAGCTAATGAGCAAACCCCCAAAGAATGATGGGGAAAATGAGTTAGATGAACACAGTTAATTTAGCTGAAATAAAGAAAAATCTGTCATTACAGCACGTACAGAGGATACTTTTTCCCTTTCTCCAGTTACATTCAGTAAAATAAAGGAATAAGTAAAAGGCAAGTTAGTTTCTGTGGCTATTAAAAAAATCATCTAGGCTGGAGAGATGGCTCAGTAGAATAAGCACTTGTCCGGCAAGCACAAGGTCCTGAGTTCAATCCCCAGTACTGCAAAAAACAAACAAAAAAATAAACTTGCAATCTTTAGGGGCCAGGGAGATGGCTCAGTAGAATAAGTGCTTGCCTGGCAAGCGCAAGAGCCTGTGTTCAGTCCCTTGTTCTGCCAAAACAAAAAATCATCTACTCCAGAGTTAGCAAGATACCTCAGCAGTCCAAAGCGCTGCTTAGGCAAGGGCAGGGACCGTGGCTCAGTCCCAGGCACCACGTCACACTAGCCCTGCCCCCAGGGTGGACTGAGCCAGCCACCCCCTCAAAAAAAAATGATCTAATTGTTGTCCACTAAAATTGAATTACAGATGAGCATGAAGACAAATGTTACTTCTTTATATAACTTAAAACTATAAATCCAGGAAGCAAACTAGTGCTTGTATTATCTGTTCGGGGGTTGTTTTTTGGGTGTTTTTTTTTTTTTTTTTTTTTTCTAAGTACTGAGGATCAAACTCAGGACCTTGCACTTGCCAGGTAGGCAATGAATGCTGTTGAGCTATCTCCCCAGCCCAGTGCTTGTATTATCTGATTAACAGACATGTTAAATTGAAGATCAGTGTCAGAGTTTGCTAAGTGTTCATCAGCAAGATACACTGGTCAGTGCTGACATGAAGTTTATGCAGAGAGCCTAATTTGATAAAACACATAGCCTCTAAAGTATATATATGGTATATTAATTTCACATGTAAAGGCAGATTTTCCAAAGAAAAAATTGAAGTAGTTTAAAACTTAATCAACCTAAAGAGGTACTTTTAAATTTTTCATCAAGTTCTACATTAGCAATCTTATTCCCCTAACAACAGTTGTAATTTGGGACTGTGGCAGTGTTGACCACACTGTAAAATGACATCACTTACATTCCTTCTTAAAATGTAAGAAACTAGTTCAAGAAATGAGTGTGTTACTACTACTGTAACTATAAGCTCAGAAAAATGAGGGCCAGCGAGATAGATCAGTGAACTAAGCACCTGCTTTGGTAAGCACAGGGACCAGGGTTCGATCCCCAGGCCCACATGCTGTGGTGGCACATGCCTGTAATCCCAGCACTGGGGAGGCAGAAAACAGGATCACTATAAGTCTGAGCTGCGTAGTGAGACTCTGTACCAAATGCATAAAATGAAAAAAGGAAAAGAAAACAACCCAGAGGACAGTTTTGAGGTGAACTTGGTCAAAACTCCATTTAAGAACAGTATTCCCAAAAGATCTAGGATTTCTTTTAGCAGTGCACAATCACTCTGGCCACATTTAGCAGAGAGGAGGCAGCAAAGAGGATGTACAATACACATTTGTGATACTGTGTCAGGATACTATCTCAAAGGAATCCAGGAATAGGAATGAAATCATTCCTAGGTATTGGAGAGATTGTGACTACAGTAGTGGTTAAAATCAGACTTCCCAGTGCTGGGGACGCTGAAACAGCTGCGTACCAAGACTAGACCAAATAAATTTTAAAAACTAAAGTTGTAGATATGGCACATAGGTTTTGCAAAGAAACATCTTTTGTATGTGTGTGTGATACTGGGGATTGAATTTAGGACCTTCACATTAAACTATAATCCCCAGCCTTTTTTAAAATTCTCTTCCTTCTGCCATGCTGGGGAACCTACAGCTTTGTACAAACTAGAGAAGTGCTCTACCACTAAGTTAGATGGCTGCCCCCCCCCCTTTTTTATCAGACAAATTCAGGATCTTGCGCTTGCCAAGCAGGCACTTAGGCCACTGAGCTATATGCCTGACCCCAGACCATTGTTTTTGAGATGCAGTCAAACTGAGTTGCCCAGGTAGCACTCAAACTTGCAATCCTCCTGCCCCAGCCTCCCAAGAGCTGGGTTCCAGGCATGTGCCATAATGCCTGGCTTCTGTATGAAGTGTTGAGTCATCAGCCAATGCAACAAACATATGGGCTTCCTTCAGCTTAAAATGATGAATTTTTAGGATACTCAACTAATTCTTTCCAAAACTCTTACTGCAATTTTCAGAATACCCTTTCCTAACCAGTGCTTCTATACTCAAAGACCCAGTAAGATACTGTTTTTCTAGCCATTTCAATTTACAAGCTACGAGAA